CCTTTCCCAGGGACATGGTGTGTAAATTGGTTCTTTTAAAAAAAAAAACTTAAAATCCATTTTAAAAAATTCATTTTTGAGGGAGAGAGAGAGACAGAGGGGGAGACACAGAATTTGAAGCAGGCTCCAGGCTCTGAGCTGTCAGCCTGCCACGGGGCTCAAACTCACAGGCCGTGAGATCATGACCTGAATCAAAGTCGGATGCTTAACCTACTGAGCTACCCACCCCTCCCTGTGAACTGGTTCTTAAAGAATGAATAGGAGTTACTTATGCAAAGGTAGGAGAGAGAAGGGAGGACATTCTCAGCAGAGAATCCCTTGGTTCGAGGGGAACAGCAGAGGAATATGTCAAGCAAACATCTCAAATCATGCTCTTTTATATGCTTTCAGGATACCCTAAACCTAGCTTAATACTCAGCAAGAACAGACATTAGATGCTGGGATTAGGGAGATTTAAGGAGCCATATTGCCCTGGTCTTAAAGAGGGTGACAGAGGATTACCCACTGTCTCAGCCTCAGGCACCACCTTGAAGTCTACAAAAAGTGTTTGGTGTTTGCTTCCTGGAGGCCTACCCCTCACCCCAGACATCTATTTCCCTTCTATGCCTGCAGCTCTAACTCCATTCCAGGGTAAATACCAGTTCAGCTGTAAAGCAGCCTGCAGGGTCAGAGAGGAACCACAGGGAGGCGCTGCTCCCTTCAGTTAGTCGTTTGACACAAATTCATCACACATTCGTCGTGTGTTTCTGAGCACGTATGTCTTTCTTTAGAGCCTGTGATATGACCTTGCAGGGCCGTTTGGCTTGCTTCACACGGGAGTCAAGATTTCCTAGGCGATTCCACCAAAGGATCAAGAAACTGGAGGAACAACCCTCTCAGCTTTGGGTGTATTCCCAAATGAAACCTTCCACTGCTTCTCCACAGGCCATGCCGTCTGCTTCCTACTTAGGACTTTCAGTCTTGCTGATATTGAGTAAGTAACATTTATTCAAAATTCCTAAGATGTTCTAGTCCTTGATTATAGGATGACTTTTAACCCCTGCCAAACTGGAGACTATCCTTACATTATCAATATAACAAAGTCTTTAACTTTTTTTTTTTTTTTCCAGGAGGGATCAATGGAGACTCAGTGACCCAGACAGAAGGTCCTGTTACCCTCTTTGAGGGGACACCTTTGACCCTGAATTGCACTTACCAGAGCACCTACACAGTTTTTGTTTTCTGGTATGCCCAGTACCCAAACAAAGCTCCTCAATTGCTCCTGAAAAGCTTATCAGAAAACCAGAGGGCAGAGCATCACGGTTTTCACGCCAGTCTTGTTAAGAGTGACAGCTCCTTCCACCTGCAGAAACGCTCTGTGAGAATGTCAGACTCCGCTGTGTACTACTGCGTCCTAGGAGGCACAGTGAGATCGCCTGCAGGGGGAGCCAGCACAAACCCAGAGGGGGGCAGGAGGGCCCTGGATGTGAGCAGCCTGGGAGGGGAGAATGATGATTTCTCTCTAGTTAGAGTCTTGTGCTGGGCGCGGCCCCCAGGGAACAGATACCTGATGCCTCTGCCCTCAGGCACCCCGAGTTTTACTTCGAGCTAGGAATGGAAGGAGGCAATGTAGGTGAAAACTTAGATTATCATTATGCCTATACATAGAATCCTATAGTCAATGGCCTTTTGTGTCTGGTTTCTTTCACACAGCATCAGCTTTTCAAGGTGTATCCATGTATCAGTACTTTAGTACTTCTGTGGCTGCGCAATAATCCATTGTATGGATACCCTATATTTTCTTTGTCCATTCATCAGTTGATGGGCATTTTGGTTGTTTCCACTTTTTGTGAAAACACTCATGTACAGGAGCTCTGCTCCTTCAAACTTGAATATATTTTAAGTTAGAGATTTCTGGGTATTTTTTCGTTTTGTTTTTTGCTTTATTTGGGACTAACGTTTCTTTGTGGATATGCAATTGAATAAATATGAGAAAATGCTCCTTACAAATAATGACTTATACTAAAGTAAGATATTATTCTAAGCTATATATATATATTCATTCAAGAAAATTTGGCACCTACTCATATGTGCCAGTCATTTTAATAAGTATTGAGAATATATTTTAGGTAACAGAGTCTCCTCCTTTAGGATTTTATAAAAATTTTGTGTGCATTAAAATACCACACAAGTCTTAAAATCATGCTTTTTTTTTTTTTTAACAAATCATTTTATTCATTTACTGAACTGTGTTTGTTCCTAAATATTTGTGGTGCTTACAGCTTTGCTTTTTGGGTTTTTGTTGGTGGTGGTGGTGTTACTGTTGTTTTTTAGGGCAAGAGTGACTGGGGGAGAGAGACACAAAGAGAGAGAGAAAGAGAGGAATCTTAAGCAGGCTCCACACTTAGTGCAGAGCCTGACATGGGGCTCAATCTCATGACCCTGGGATCATGACCTGAGCCAAAATCAAGAGTCGGTCACTCAGCCAACTGAGCTGCCCAAGCGCCCCTATGGTGCTTAGAGTTTTATGGGCACTGGGCTAAGCACTTTAAATTCCCCCCCTCCTAGATACTACCAAATTCTCATTTGACAGATGACGAAATTGAGGTTTAGTGATGTTAAGTGACTTATTCAAGGTTACATAACCAGCTGGGAGCAGAAGTTGGCCAGACCCAAATCTGACGTGTGACCAATATTTTAACAACTATTTGGTTGAACGTTCCAGAAATCTGTCTTCTTTTTTTCCCCAGAATTCAACTGTAATCTTAGATTTCATAATTGTTGATGTTTTCATTTGAAGAAGAACCCAATGCAATATTAAAAGCTGCAGTTTACTCATTTGGCAACCACAGAAGTGTGTATGTATATATGTATATATATATCTATATATATCTATCTATATCTATATCTATATCTATACCTATATCTATATCTATGTCTATATATATATCTTTACATATTGAAGCCAAAAAACCCAGTCACCATTTTTATGTTCTTGAACCCTGAAGTTGCTCATATGCTCTCTGATTGAATACAGCTCTCATATTTGAAGAGCCACAGCTGAGCCCCAGTGGCTGTTATCAGGAGACATACAGGTACTTGCCATGGAAATGGGGATTATATTTTCCAAATACAAACAAAAATTCTTCATATAGCAAATATGTCTACTCACTGAGAGTGCAGGACACAGCATTTTTGGTTTTGCTACAGCATATATCTCATTAAAACAAACTCTTTTCATGTATTTAGTAAATACCAGTATAATGTCAATATGATGTGGAAGTTTTACTTATTCTCATGGATTTTTCTAAGCACCTTAATAATAATTTCAAATCAAAGAACTATTGGGGACAAATTTCTCACTATAAAAAAAGCCTCAGCTCTACTTTAGTGTTAGCCAAGTTTGTTTTAGTGGCTTCAAGAATTTCTAGGGTTTTCAAGGTAAAGCTACCTGATGAAACTGAGAGTGAGGATAAAAAGATCATGCGGCTGTCTTTGCCTCTCCTGCTGATTTATGAAGAATAATGGCATTAAAAATATTGGTGAACCTGATCTTACCGGCAACACATGTTCTCGTGGACCTATATCTAGAGAGGCAAAACACAAGTCCCAATATTTAAGGCTTCAAAGAATTTCCTGAGTGTGATGAAAAGGGCAAGTGCTAACAGGTACTGCACTCTGCTGGTATTTTTTTAATGGGATTTCTATTGTTTTTGGTAATGCTTTGGCTAGAGTTGTACTTTTTAGGGTTTTCCCTATTTCCACCGTAATTAATGTGTGTGGTTTGAAAGAGCAGGAGGTATTTCAGAAATATGTGTATTGAGTCACAATGGAAATTCCTATACTTAGGGACTGAGTAGAACTTTCTGGACATTAGCTCCTATGTCTACTCAGGGGTAGGCAGGGCCACTTTATCCCCCTACCTAAACAATTTCAGGTATATTTCCTCGCATTTGCTGACACCCAAAGAAGAAATGCTCTAAGACATGAGCAATAGTCACACCAACCTTCAAACTGATTTGGTTTCAACCTTGAGTGCTACTGGAATGAACAGCTAGAAAACTTCCACATGTCAAGATAAAAGCTAACAAGAAAATGGCATTTTTTTCCTCTGAGCAAATATGCAGCTAACAGATAAGTTGTGAGGCACTAAATCTCTACAGGTTATGGTGGGGGGTTTTTCCCCTCTTATTTTAAGAGTATGTAAATACCTTTTGATATATCTAAAATATGACTGGTGGATGAATTTTCCCTGAGACGAGGTCATTGTTAGCAAAGAGGATGCTCTCATCCTGTATCCAGTTAAAATGCAAGCTTTCTTGAGAGTGGGATGAGCTTTCTAATCTGCTCCAAGAAACTAGGAGAAAGTATCACCCACTCCCAAAGCACGAGACACCCTTTTCCTCCTCTGCTCATCAACAGGAATATGGATGCTACTTTGGTCACTGATCCGTTGTTGCAATTGCACAGGGCATCTGCTCTGCATCTCTGCGGCTGGCAACCTGGCTATACCTCCTGTGATCATATTTTCTGGAAGGAAAATGGGGAGCACAGCAGGTGAGAAAGAGATCTATTTTGCTGCTGGGAGATGTGGCCTAGGCACCGAGTCATTGCTATTTCATAATTTCTCAGCACGATTATTAAAATGTAGAGTGGTCCTGGAGAATATATAGTCACCATTCTGACCTTACAAGGCCTAGCTCTCCTACCAAACACAATAGATGTAATCCCTCCTCTAAACTTTCCAGTCACTCTTTAACCCTTCCTGGCTCTTGCCACTTGATACCTTGTATTGTGGTCCTAAAATTCATACCTATAACAACACCAGACAACAGAATGGGTAAAATGAAGAAGACAGACGACACCAAGTGTCTGTAAGAACGTGGGGCAACGTTCTCAGGTACCACCAGAGGCAATGTAAATTGGTGAACTGAAAACATTTGGCAATAGCTACTAAAGCTGAGCATATGCATAACCTAAGGTCCAGCAATTATATTTGCAGGTATATACCCCCGCCCAAAATGTGACCCCTGCGCATTCACAAGGAATGTACAAGAGTAAGAACATGTATAGCATCAGTAATTGTAATACCCTAAAGCTAGAAAGCAACCCAAATATCCATCCTCAATTTCAAGGATAAATTCTGATAATAGACTACACAGCAAGAGAATGAATAAACTTGCCATATTCTCTGTATAGAAGGAATCCCACAAATATGACTGAGTGAAATATGGCAGACACAAAAGGAGTTCAAAAATAAATAAGACTAATCTATGAAATCCTAAGTTGAGAGAGAGTAGAGATAGTGGTTATCTTTACGAGTAGATAGTGACGGGAGATTGAACAAGGGAGATTTCTGGGATGTTGATAATGCTCTATTTCTCAATGAAGGTGCTAGTAATATGGGTGAGTTCACTTTGAGAGAATTCACCAAGTTCTACACTTAATTTTTATATATTTATGTGTATCATACCTTAATAAGGTTTTAAGAATTATACACTATTTACCCCATTAACTGAATTCTGAGAACACAACTCACATTCAATCTATTTTCATATCCCCATTGTCCCTCACACTGTGCCCTCATTTAACAGAGCCTTCATAAATATTTGCTCAATAAAGGACTTAGCTATTTCTGATACATAATTGCAATATTCTCTGCTCCCAGTTCCAGGAATACAACATGCTACCAGGTGGCCTTGAACGTCCTTCTAGTGCTTGCTTCTCTCTACAGCTGCCCCAAGATGAGACCCTCAGCGTCTCACATCTGGTTTTCTGTAACAGCCTTTTAACTAGCCTCCTTACTACCAACGTCTCCTCCCTGGATCCTACTCCATATACCAGTGAATAATTTCTTTAAAACAAAACAAGACAAAAACAGCATCAATCACATCAATCCACTGTTTAACAACCTTCAGTGACCACCCTTTGTTTATGGTAATAAGGTTTAAGCTCTTTTTGTGGATCTCAATGGCCTCTACAGTTTTCTCAGGAAATTTCTGCTTCAGCAGATTAAGTCTGACTCAAGAATGAAGTTGGGCGGGCATCTGGGTGGCTCAGTCGGTTAAGTGTCCGGTTAAGTGTCCGACTTCGGCTCAGGTCATGATCTCACAGTTTGTGAGTTCGAGCCCCGCATCGGGCTCTGTGCTGACAGCTCAGAGCCTGGAGCCTGCTTCACATTCTGTGTCTCCCTCTCTCTCTGCCCCTTCCCTGCTCATGCTGTGTCTCTCTCTGTCTCAAAAATAAATAAACATTAAAAAAAAATTTTAAGAACAAGTTGGGGAGGACTCGCTGTCCTCCTTAAATAGCCCTGCCTACAGCCCGTTGCTCCCATAATCACCTTGACCTGAGTACTTACCGTCATCTCTCCTCCCAATCCTGGAGACCATCTCAGACCATTCCTCCTGAAGAATGTCCTGGTCATTCCAGCCCACAGTGATCTCTCCCTTTCTGTGAAAAGCCCCGCCACTAATTATTGCCTTTGATAAGTTACCTAACATTTTTTAAAGTATTTCAGTTGTACCACCTAATTTTGCAATGCACTTTCATATGCGTTATCCCATTTGCTCCTCATCGTCATGTGAGCAAGCCAAGATACAGAGTTAATCTCACTTCATAGATGAAAACCCCAAAGGTTCAGAGAGGTGAGGTGACTTAAACCAGTGCACTTGGCAAAGGGTACAGCCCAGGCTCATCCAAGCTTTCTACACAGAATTAATTATCTGGCTATGAGGAATGGCTATATTACCACCCCCCCCAAAAGATTATACATTTTTAAAATGTGCTTACACTTTGTATCCCTCAAGTACTGGACAAGGTGTTTAGGGCACTCTGCAAAGCTAAGTTATTTTATTTCTACATTGTCCCCACTCAGCTCAAGGACTGATAAAAGCATATTACTTTGGCTCTATGAGACTCCTGTAGTAAAAGCTGAAGAAACACATCACTTCACCTCCAAACTATTTACCTTGGGGAGTAGGGAGAAAAGAGCCCTTCCAAGGCCAGGGCAACCTTAATTTTACCTTCATACCCTAGCCTCAAAATTGAAAGAAAAAAGACAAAAATAAAAAAAGATTCAAAGGAAGCCAGCAGAGGCAGTGGCAATGAGCTTCAAGAACCTCCATTTAATTAATCACAGTAAAATAAATTTCAATTTGATCACATTCCAGAGATCATTTCTCAAATAACTCAAATGTCAGGCAAAATGGAGAACTTTTTGATTCTGAAACTCAGTGTATAAGATTTAAGATATATCAATAAAGAACTTAATTTTATTTATTCCAAGGCTAGATAATACTAAATCTTTCTTGAAGCAAGTCAGAGAACTAATGTGATGAAATGAGAAAGAAGAAAGTTCTAGGCGAACGTCTGGGCACCCAACCCTGAAGGTAAATACTGCCTTCTTCCTTAACATTTTGGACTCCTTCACACTGTGTTAGATACCTGAGCAGTGCAGGTTAAACATCTCGATAAACAGGTCTAAGAAAGGGAGAGGGAGGTGGAACAGCAAAAATAAATCTAAACACTAGAAATAAGATATTCAAACAGGGTTTATTTGCTCAATGATAAATGCCTCAGCTATCTATTTCCTGTGTGATTCCTAATTCCACCTGCCTGGGCCTGGGCTACAGGGAGTACAGGCAGGAAATGGAATTTGCTCCACTTATCTGATCCTTGCCAACTGAAAGCAATTTGAGATAGAATCATATCTTGTTTTGGTTTATGTGCTTTTTACAGAGTTTTGCACATCATAGATAACTGTAGATTTCCAGAATGAATGCTTGAGATTAGGGATTCCTGAACATGCACAGTAGTTTAAGGGCAGCTAGGTAATATGCTTAGCTGGAGAACCTTGCCAGCCTATCTCTACTCAAGACCCTAATTTTAATAAGAGTTAAAACAAAGTTCATTGCAATAGGTGGGAAAATCTATTCAAGGTAAATTTGTGTCATCAGAAGATGATTCTTGTGTTCAGCTGATTTGGTCATAGCAAGTCTCATTGTATTGAAGACACTATCCTTCAGAGCCTACATAAGAAAATGTCACAGCTGTCTGTAATAATAATATCCCAACGCTTTAAAATTATAACGTTTTGACTTCTTACTATAACACAATCTTACTTTGCATAAAGTAAACCCAATCTAGACAAACAGAGAAATAACAAGCTATGGAAATGACCCTTTTACATCTGTGCTGTTTCACCAGCACAAATAATTACAAAGGAAACTAGACAAACAAGCCAACAGACACGGAACCCTTAGCTGAGATTCCTGAATTCTCTAATAAAACAATACAACAGGAGGCAGCTAAATACCACCAACATGCCTCTGGAATGAAGAGAACCTGGCTAAGAATGTTAAGCATCTAAATCTGGCTTTCTAGAAGAAAATACTTAGCTGGATTAAAACAATGATGTGATAAGAAGTGGAAGGATGGTATTTCAGGAACCAAGTTACATAAAGAAGTGTGCCCTCGTAAGGGGTGAGGCTGTTGTCATTCAAGTATGGTCCAGATACCCCTAAGGAGACCATTTCAGGGAGGGGATACAAAGACTTTTGAATTTTATTTGGATTATGTTTCTGTTAGGATCTGATCCTGACTCATTCCCCTCAACCTCCTTACCCAGGGTAAGTTCTCTACTGTGATCTAAAGTTCCTAGTGTTGTGGGATCCTGTGAGCCCTGTCCATCAGCCTGTGTCCACTTTGTATGCTTGCATTAAGTACATTGTTTATGGTTGTGTTTCTAGATCTGCCTGTCTTAATCTTCTTAGTCCGTTCTGATAGAGGCAACTTCTCTCTAATCCCCTTCACCAAGTTCAGAAACTGAAATTTTAAAAGTCATTAACTTAAGCCTCTCCAGTTATATATACCATAGATTATATATATACACTTATATTTATATATGTTATATATAAATATAACCTGTTTAATATATAAAACATATATGTGTATATATATTATGTATATATATATATATGTTGTGTATGCATGTATACATGTGTCTTGTGTGTGTCTTGTGCTTTAAAAATATTCTCCAAAAATATGTTACACACACATATATATATACATATATAGAATATACAAGTAGAAATATCATTTAAGCAATAATGAATTATACAATTGTAAGATGCTATTATTCCCATTTGTTAATGAATCTATTTAAGAAATGCTATACAGAGGCAGTTTGCTAGGTTCTGGGGCTATTACAAAGTACATGAGCCTTTTCTTTGGTGAGCTAAGAGTCTTGTGCTTTAAAGATACTCTCCAAAAATTGGGGCACCTGGCTGGTTCTGTTTGTGGAACATGTGACTCTTGATCTCAGGGTCATGAGTTCAAGCCCCCACACTGGGTGTGGAACTCACTTAAAAAAATATATCTTCCAAATCTGCACAAATCCAAATAAAAAAAAAAGAACATTATTTTACTATCACATCACTCTCACATTGTTATAAAAAATATGAATTGTATTATGGAATAATAACAATATTTCCTAGTTATTAAACTTTCTAAGCACTAACACATACCAGGCACGTGCCCTTATATTTTTCTGTTATAGTACTGCCTTACGGCAAATAGTACTATTATTCCCATGAAAACTGAGATTTGGAGAGGCCGTTGATGGTTAATATTAGATTAGAAATTTGATCCCTCTGATTTAAAAAAAAGTAAAACTTGTTATTAATGTAAAATACATATGTGAATCTCTGCTTCCAATTAGCTTAAAACAAATAACTGTCAGAAAGTTGAGGATGCAAAGAAACCTAAATGAACTCAATTCCAGAAAGTGGCAACTTTCATCACTGTTGAAATAGCGGAAGAAGAAGGAATCTTTTATAGAGAGGGACAAGGGGAAATTAGTCAAATGTTTAAGGAACCTCTAAGGGCCATGTGGTGGCTGCTAAGACATATCAGAATTCTGAAGAGCCCCAGCTACTGCTAAGTGTACACCCATCCACCAATCCTTCTCCATGGGTCTTCACAGGGTGCATAGGTAACATGCTGAAGCCATGGGAAAAAGCTGAGAGTGGGGAGAAAATCCTCTGAGATGTTTTGGGCTTTTATATAGTATAGATCAAGAGCTCTCTGAAGACTGGAACAGGCAGCAGGGGAGAAAGAATTTGCTCAGGGAGCAAAAAGCCAAGTCCAGGGCTGGGAATCAGTAAGAAGTCCCTAGGGGCACCTGGGTGGCTCAGTCAGTTAAGCATCTGACTTCAGGCCATGACTGAGTGCAGCATTGAGCTCTGCACTGTTAGTGCAGCGCCTGCCTAGGATTCTCCCTCTCTCTCCCCCTCTCTTTCTGCTCCTCCC